TCTGGTTGTGGATATGGTTTGCAAGCTGGGGGTGTATGTGGGATTGTATTAATAACATGATGAATGGGTGTATCAGCAATATTATGTTCAGTTGTATTAAAAATTCGATGGAAACGGGATAAAAGTGCGAGAAGAGCATCATGATATTGGTTATGTTGTAGTTTGGTAGCTAATTCGCGAATATCTTTATCAACCTGTGGGTGTATCGAAGGAATTGTATAACAAGTAGTGGGATTTGTAATGACATCAGTATTATACTGGTTGTGTATTGGAAAATATTTCGAAGAGTTGTTCGAATAATGAGTAGTCGATTGATCCATGACTAAGTCAAGAGAGACTGGCATCTCGCCAAAAGATTTGACGGCACCACGTGATTTAGTCGTTGGAATCGACGTGTGGATATTTCGTTGTTGAACGATATAAGAACATAAGAATCCAATACAAACGCCTTTAGTAACGAATTGTGGATAAAGAGTTGTATTAGATAATGTTATAGTAGAAAAATGATTGTAAAATTGAAGAAGTTTATGTGGAATATATAAAGCACTATTTAGTATAAAGTGTTGATGAGGAATAAATGGTGAACTAATAGACGAAATAGGAATGGAAACTTTAGCTGTACGATTGGTATTAGGAGGAAGATGTAAAGATTTGGATAAAGTTATTGGAATAAGTTGCGGTGAATAATTTTGATTGATATTCATATAGTATCGACGATCATTGATTTCAATAGAAATCAATTGATGTTTTGTGTCGATTGTGAGATTATAGCGGGTAATGTAATCCATTCCGAGAATTATATCGGTGCATAAATTTTGAGCGACATGTGCTTGAATTGTGGTTATTTGATTTGCAAATAATATTGATAATTCAACAGTACCTAATACGTGAAAAGGTGCTAAACCATCAGCTAAAACGAATGAATGAGTATGTTTTTTGACGAAATTATAATATTGGAGTTTTTGTAATGATTTGTGGTTAATAAAGGTTTTGGTTGCTCCGGTGTCCACTAAGAGTTGTAGTTTTTGATTATTAACTAATGTTGTAAGAAAAATTAATGAAGGTTGTGATGG